ACCCAAGAAATGCAGAATTTTCAAACATGAATCCTGAGCTATTTATTTTTCCATTGTGTAGTTCTCCAATCCAGTCGTAGTCCAATCCTATACTTTTATTCACTAGAATTGTGAAGCGATCTTTTAATACCGGGAACATGTTGCAGCCAGTCCTTGAAGTCAGAGAATAAACCGGTTAATCGTGTCCTATATTCCCACTGCGATGCACCGATCAACGGTGTTAACGACCTTGTTAAGGGCCACATAAAACTATACCTTGAAACAACATATTTATAATGTTTATGCTCTGAGTTATTTTTATAAAAGAATATTAAAGGAGTTGTATTTTTAGGGGAATACGAGCAGACGGGGCACCTGATGGTTACTGACTACTGCTACCCATGGACACTTGCAATAGTCAAGAGCCACAATCCACCAACTCCACTCCCCAACAGCATCCCGTGTTCACAATGGACCAAAATCTCCCCTGACGTACAGAGAGCTTGCTTTACAGGAACATGGATTTTAAGTTCACTTCGGCCACCGTACGACGATAGAACATTAACTTGAAGCTACACCGATACCCAAAAGAAAAAAAAATCGTATTAAAAACCTTAAAGTCCATTTTAAATTCCTTTTGTTACCGGTGAAAGAGTAGAAGAAGTAGAAAAAAAAAATCCAAAATCGTTTTTACAATTTGATTAGGTTTCATATTAGTATTACTTATTAAAAAATAATAATTAAAATGTAACAATAATAATTATCAATACCCGACTGAATATTTTAATATTATATTAAATTTATGTAGGTTTATGTAGGTATGTGTGTTTATTTAAGTATGTGTATGTATATATTGAATATATCTCTGGACTTCAATTAAGTTAAATTTATTATTTTATTTTGCAACAATGGCATCAGATTTCTACATCACCTGAAGGTTGACTGGGAGAGAATGCCTAATTGCATTAAGTCCGCCTTTGCACAACATGTGCATTAAGTTTTAAATAAATAAATTCAATTACGATTCGAAGAATAAAAACGCCCTAAATTTAAGTGCAGCAAATTACAAATGATGTTACGAGGTAGTTCAGACAGGATGGTTTAGTCTTAAAAAGACTAATTTGAACATTGATGAACGTAATAATTAATATTTAATACAAAAAGAAAAGACAGGAATTTAATTGTTTTGTGTTTAAGCGTCACTGTTGATGGGAACTGGAAGTGTTTTTGACTATTTTGCCACAACATTTTGTATTGCTTACAGATAACTTACAAAAAATATTAATCAATTCGATAATCCTTAAGAAAAACGCCATAATAATCAGCCTTTGACTAGAGATTTTAAGCAAAATATAACAAAATTAAATAGTAAAATGTGTGCCCTAAGTTTTTACAGATATACTCGTATCATTCCAAAAAACAGAGACTTATTTTTCCACTCGACGATGTTGTAAAGTCTGTGTTCCAGTGTCAAGAATTATTTCTCATAGTAGAGCTATTTTCTTTAAACAATCTACATAAACATCAAATAATCATCATTACACGTTTAGTGAATGGCCACCAGTGTATATGTAGTGTGTATTTGTGGTGAGTGTGTGTGTGTTTTAGACATACTTATTTGGTGTGTAATATTCAATGCAAATATTGGATCTGCTTATTACGGACGTATCTGTCAGAATACCCTGCTTCCGAAAGAGAAATCACATCCACAGCGGTGTCACGAAAGTAAAAGTAGAGCTGTTGAAACCACTATCAATCAAAATGTTGTATTTATACATTCTTATGTATGTATTAACTGGCCAATATTACGCAAGCACAGATAACTTCATTCAATGCCTAGATTGGCGTTTATCAAGGTTTCAGTAATGTATTTTTTACTTTTAAATTTAATTAGCCCACTAAATACAATGATATATTTAATGAATCAGTTGCCTGTTGTTACTTCTCTATTTTGTTTAAATGATATCGGACACTGTCGGCTGAGATGATGATGATAATGTCGGACACTGAACCAATGATCTTATTTACTGATATCTAGGGATTTAGGAATTTAGGTAAGTTTGACTAAATATCATGTGTGACATATAATATTGCGTCAAAATTATTCCTCTTATTGTTGAAAATACAATAAGAGGAATAACATATTTCATTTTTTCTGTTGTAAAAAGATACAAAAAAGTAAAGAGTTTTACTGACGTACATACTTGTTGTTCTACAAACAAGTTATATTGTGAAAATATATTTAAAAAATTATGTTTCAAAATATTTAACCTCATTTCAAAAATGATGTAGAAGGACGTTGCAGTACGAAGTTTTAACAAAAAGGACATACTAAAAAGTACAACTACAAATAATTAGAACATCTAGTACTACGTAAAGTAGATACTTAGTCATTTCTTGGATTGATTTTAGAAATAGGTGTTTATTATTTGGAGGAACAATAAAAATCGTAAATCGTTATTCTTAATTGGTGTAAATGTTAGTAAAATAATAATTTACATAGATCACTTGATATTGTTGTATTTAAAACGCGCATTCGATAATAAACTTTTTTTAAATATTACTCACCGTGATCTCTGTAATTATTGTTTGAAGATCTTTGAGCATTCGCCAGAATAAACAGCGACATCAAAAGCACACTCTGGATACCGACACCAAAAATCTGATTCATTTTTTTTAATACTACACTATTTACTATAATTAAAAACACTAATTCTAATTTTTTTAAAGTTTTAAATACGTTAGATATGTTTAGATCCGCGGATCTAAGTTAAAATAATATTTGTTATTTAGAAGTACGATATCATTCTCGCGCGAGCATCAACGACCGTTGTGATAGGAGCGTGCGTCGCAGCCTTTGGTTACTAAACTGAGAAGTTGCGTTCGCGCAGGTGTGTAAGAAAGAACAACCCACGTTGAAGACCGGTCGATTGTATCGTCCGCTATCATCCGTCACAACAAGTGCTTGCACGTTTTTAATATTCGCGGTATGTAAACAAGCTTTACATTAAAAATTCTTAGTCTAAAGAATATTATTATTCTAATTAAGAATATTCATCAATTATCTTAATATACGAGTAATAGTAGATAATTGCTCGTATATTGTATAGGTTTGAAAAGCTTCTGTTGCGTGTTCTAAATTTTAAATAATAATCGATTTCATTGTGATCATAACGTAGCTGTCTACTTATAAGTATAAAATTGTATCCATACTAATATCATCAATACGAAAGTGTGTCTGTCTGTATTCACGCTTAAACCGCTGAATCGATTTAGAAGAAATTCGATATAGATATAGTTCGAGTCCCGGGAAAGGACATAGGGTAGTTTGTATCCCAGAAATCATCAACCAGGCGATCTCTTGTATTACGATAGGATTTAAATTTAGTCATCGCTCATTTGGTTGAACGAGACAAGTTTATTACCATATATCAACGACGACGATGACGCACGCTTTTTCGCTGCAACTACAAAAGTTGGATAACCTTTAAGTGAAATTGGCTGCAGGTTTCTTTCTTAAATCTGATTCCTTTAGAGCCGGAGTGCTACGGTAAGTTTTTAGTTTATAAACACTCATTCGCCTATTGCCTAATGTGACCTGCACAATTGTACTTATTCTATAAAATGGGCTATCGTTTATTTTATCCTTAAATAAACATTTACGTCGAGTGTATTATCGTTAATTTTAATCTCATGAGTCGATTTTGTTAACATTTTTCTCATGCGCTCGCAAAGGTTGCCAAATCCGCATCGACAGGCCGACATAAGAACGCACTGGATTACCAATAAGGCTGGATTAACAATAAGGCAGTTGCCTAGGGGCCTCGCATCAGTTAGGGCCACGGTACGGGACACATACACTTTTCAAATTGTTTCACACGGTGAAAATTTAAATGGAAAAATTGTATTTCGAAAGACATTAGGTATTATTGCTTTTTCGACGCATGCAAGTTGATAAAATACTTCATATTTACAGAATAGCATCTTCAACTATCGAGTAGTAGAACTAATAATATGGATGCTTTACGTATTGGATCAAAAACAAAAGATTTGAAATGCATAATCTGTTATTGCGATTTGTAAGTTTTGTGACCGTGAATGAATTTCTGATGAGATGAAATATTTTACTGTGCTTAAATATTCTGAATGTCACAGTAGTCTACAGGTCCATAATAAGAAAATACATATTCTTGTACACAACGTTCCATGGGTAGTGAACTGATTAAAGATAGCAAAAAATCGATGTTAGATTTTTTGCTATCTTTGCAAGAATTATTTGACGATTACGATACTTTCGTATCGTAATCGTCAACTGAGGCAACTGATACCGAATACAATGCTGAAAATAAGTGTGTGCGAAGAAGAAAAAGGCATTACGATGACGAGATCCGTCCGCTGAAGATGTTGTGACCAAAGACAAAGATAAGTCAAAGATTGAAACATATTTGCCTGTACTAGATATGCCTTTATGCAATTGTCGCGGTGACTATAAGATTGTCGGGAAATTTATTATGTGAGATTAGAGGTCATGGGGATTGTAAGAAAAGATAAAATCAAAAATTTAAATGTTTGATAATATGGTAACAATTAACTAACCCGAATAAAATGATAACATTACAAATAAACAGAAGTCTGATGACGGGTTAATGTAGCTTTTCAAAATTAAAATTAATAAAAAACTGTTTTCGTTTGTCAATGTCTCAGAACCGCGATAATGGCGATTGAAAATGATATATTGGAAAAGGTCAACTTTCAAGATGTTATGAACGACTTTGTATCGAAAAAAAACTTTCTGAACGTGACAAAAAGATTTCCTTTTCTTTATTGTATTTCTTGCATTTAACAACAATACCTAACGTTAAAATTAAAACACCCATGTCTTATTTTTCTTTCCCGATTCATTATGACTTTCTAATGACACCAGGATCATCACTTTTCTATAGCCTATTCATTACGACCTGCAAAAGTAGTAAACTCAAAATACGTTTGCTGTAAGTGCCGTAGGAGTAAAGCATAAGGTGATGCTGCTTCACAGCCATGATTCGAAAGGTGGAGTTGAACAGGGCAGTAGTGGAACAAGCACGTCGCGAGGATCGCAACGCGGTGCTGGTTCTCGCTCAGGGTCTGGTGGAGACCTGCAGGGATTAGCAGAGAAGAATGACAAGCCGACTCCGTCAATGGTTCCCATAGAAAAACTTGCCAAGTTGTTGGCACAACGATCACAAAAGGAAGATGGAGTCAATGGTGTCACTGAAAAGTGTTTTACCAAATACCTGTTCGGGATGTATGCGGAGCTGGCTACCCAGTTCTACAAATACGTGCACAAAGCTGGCAAATGCAAGAACAAACACATTCCCCTATTCACCTTCAGACAACAGTGCGAGAAGATTTTGGCCATGCTGGATGATAACGTCATGGAGTCGTGCGGGCTGGGCGCGGGACTGGAGCGCGGCGCGTGGCAGGCCGCCAGCGCGCTCATGCCCGTGTCGCGCGCCTGGCTGCTGGCCGGCACCGCGCCGCCGCTCTACCGCCGCCCCACGCAGCCGCCGCACCAGCCACCAGGCGGCGGGCTGGCGAGCGCGGCGTGGCTGGCGCGGCTGGTGTGCGCGGTGCCGTCGCACTGTGTGCCGCAAATTTAATTAGCTCACTACCACGCTCGCGACCATGGGCTCGGCGCCAACCGCTTCCTGCACCACATGCTCGCCTACCGAGGTCCAACCCTAGTCTTGATCCAAGCCGAAGAAATGGTAATAGTTGTATGCAGTCCACAAGAGTGGCGGGAAACTCACCAATACTAGGGGGGACCTGACTGTGCCCTCATAGTAGTCTGTCCTACTTTCAGCGTAGTAGAACACGCACCAAAGATGTTGTACCTGAACACTTCGATCCGGGGCTACCCCAAACCCTCCGCGCAGGGTCCGACCCAAGGAAACCGCTGCTGATTATTCCTGAAGACTTCCACTCTGTCACTTTCAAGGGAGTGCCGTATCCCTTGCAGAACATCGAGGTGTGGAGTTGCGGTGACCAGGCGTCTCGTGAAACGCAGCTAGAAATCAAAAAGTGGCAAGTCAAGGAGGCTGAGAGACAAAGAAGTGTGAAGTTGTCAGCCGCGGACTGGATCGAGCACCCAGACAGATACCTGCTAGAGCTGGCCGGCCGGCCGCAGTACATCAACTCGGCCAGCTAGTAACTCTCCTCCCCCTCTGCTCCATCACTACCACCACCAAAACGTACTGTGAACTGTTCGAGCACGAGCACATTGAAGATTACGGCACTGACCGGCTGACAGCTGCCGTTTCTGTACGTTCAATAAATGACATAAATAAAATACCAGAATAACAAGAATTGTTCTGAAATATTATAAATATACAGTTTTTCAATGATTTGAAAATTTTATAACAGTTTTTCATTTAATAATTTAGCTATACTCAAACATTATGAGATATGTTGGGATGTCCGTGAACCCATTGAAGTCCAACACTAGTCCACCATTTTCCAAATTACAATCACGTTGTCCAATTACATTGGTTCACAAAAACTTGAACATTATAATTGATAATTGTAAACTGGTAATAACAATTCAAAATAATTGTATTAATGATATATAAATATAAGAGATATTATATATATAGATAAGTAAGCGTTGACTAAGGGAGCAAGCTACGCAGGACAACAGCACTGCAGAGAGAGGGAAAACTTGACACAAACCAACCCGTCTGGCCAGCGTGGTAGAGTAGGCCAAAACCTCCTTTCTAAGAAGAGGCCTATGTCCAGCAGTGGACTATTAAGGGCTGTTGATGTGTGATGTGTGTGATGCATAGAAGGTAATTATCATGTTAGGTATCAAGATATATATGCAAATAATAAAATGTAAATATTATCTCATTATAACTTTTACCGTGTGGAAAGCACCAAGGCAGCCCGCTATACAAGTCACCGCGATTTCTCCACGGTTGTCATGGCAGAAACCTACTTTGTTTTCAAATATCAATTTACTTTACTAGTTTTGTATTGAAATTTAATTTGTTCTTTAAGTATTATGAACTTTTATATAGATGCCAAAAATAAAATATGTATACAATGTACCTATAGCGTAACTGATGTTTTTAATTAAAGAATACCAGATTTGCAAATGAACGTTTTATTATTATCTCCTGTATATTGATAAATATCGCCAAGCATTTAACTTGCCTCATACATATGAACTCTACATATGTATGAGGAAAGTTAAATGCTTGGCGTTGTTCGAAATACGAGGGTGCGTTTTTAAGTTCGCGGAATGAGAGGGTTGGAGGGGGTGATTAGGCTCATTAGAATCGTCACGTGTTCAGTGACTCATAATTAGTATAAATACCACGTTTCATTGTTATTAGACAATTAGTCTTTGAGTTATCGTCAACCAAGCAACATAATCGGGAGTGAAAAGTGAAACATGGAAAAAATCGAATATCGTGCCATTATAAAGTTCCTTACCAAGTAAGGAAAATCAGTTGCCACCATAATGAATGAGATGTCATTGGTTTACGGCGACTCTTGTCCAGAAAAAACCATGGTGTACACAGTTTATTTAAACAAGGAAGGGAATCCCTTTAAGACGACCCGAGGCCGGGCAGGAGCATCGAGGTGATCACGTCAGAACTTATCCAAAAAGTCGAAAAAATTATACTCGACGACGCTCGACTAAAGAAGAAACAACTCGCAGAAATGGTTGGAGTATCTGATACATCAATTTTCAGAATTCTGCGCGATCATTTTGGCATGACAAAGGTCAGTGCAAGATGGGTGCCGAGAATGCTCACGCCGACGCAAAAACAACAGCGCGTAGAGTGTTCACGTGCATTTTTAGACCTGTAATGAAGACAAGGATGCTGTATTGAGTAGAATTGTTACTGGAGACGAAACTTGGGTTCATCATTATGAACCTGAGTCGAAACAAGACTCCATGCAGTGGCATAAAAAGTTTAAGGCACCTCCCAAGAAGTTTAAGGTGTCACAGTCAGCTGGGAAACTCATGGCAACGGTCTTTTGGGACTCAGAAGGAATATTATTGATCGATTATAAAGATAAAGGTGTTTCTATAACCGGAGAATACTACGCTTCAATATTAGAGTGACTCAAAGAAGCCATTAAAGAGAAAGGACGGGGAAAATTGACAAAAGGACTCTTCTTCTTCTTCTTCTTCTTCTTCTTCTATTAGACATGAGCAAAGCATACGACAAAGTTCAATTTAATATTCTATTAAATAGGCTGTATGCTATTGGAATCCGGGGTAAAGCTTACGAATGGCTAGAGTCATATCTAACAGGTAGGAAACAAACTGTAGAACTAGAATTCTTCAACAAAAACACACACGAGATACAAAAAATCCGTTCAAACAGGAAAGATATAAAAGCCTCTATTCCTCAAGGTAGCGTAATTGGGTGCCTATTATTTATAATTTATGTAAACGAGCTACCCAAAACAATAAACGGACCATGTGTCTTATTTGCGGACGACATCTCTTTGCTCACTTCGTGTACAACTAATGTGGATGTTTGTGAAAATCTTCACCAAACACTCACAAAAACAGTGGACTGGATGAACAAACACAATCTGGAAATAAATTTCTCAAAAACTAAATTGATAACTTTCCATCCACACCAAAAATCACCAATAGACATCAATTTTACATTTAATGGATCAAAGATAGAAGTTGGCAATGAGTTTAACTTACTCGGGGTAACCATAGACACGCATATCAACTGGAGGGCGCACGTAAAAAAGGTGAGCGCAAAAATATCAAGCTTTACATACGCCCTACGCGAAGTCAAAAAAGTCACAGATCTACCTACTGCACTTGTCACTTATTACGCCTACGCACATTCTTGGCTCAACTATGGCGTAATTTTGTGGGGCAATAGTACGGACGTCCCCGCTGTTTTTACTAAGCAAAAGGCATTGATTAGAGTCTTGGTCAATATAAAAAATACTGACACATGTAAACCACACTTTCAAGAACTCAAAATCCTAACATTACCATGCATCTACATCTTGGAATTATGTAAACTTGTTCGTAAATATCCGGAACACTACACCAAGCGCGAAGATATCCAATCCAAAATGACCCTAAGACACAAAAGTAGATTAAATCTTCCTACTTCAAGATTAGCAATTCACTCCTCTGGACCATTGGTAATGTCAGTAAAAGTATATAATAGGCTACCAAACGAAATCAAAAACGAAAATAAATACAATACTTTTGTTAACAAATTAAAAAAACTCCTGATAAATAAATGCTACTACAGTGTCAAGGAATACTTAGAAGATAAATTATAAACTTTAAATAACTAAAATTAATAATTATAAACACATGCCAGTATAGACATAAAATCTAATAAATTTACATCTAATAAATATTAATATATAATGAATGACTATGCAATAAATTGATATACAATGAATGGTAAAATAATTTTGTACTGACATTGTTCATTAATAAATTTATTAAATTATCAACAACTACATCCTTTTATGATGATAATGCAAGTTGAATATACTATTTGGTTTAATTAGTTTATCTCGTTTAAAGCAGAAAATGTTGATATTGAAATCAAGCTCTTCAAACTAGCATAATTAGGCAGCTCCTCCTCTCTCCTGATAGTGCTGTGCCCGACAGGGTCCATAATTGTTATCTACTTTTAAGCCTACCACCTGAATGTACATTATGGAATGCAATAAATTGAAATTGAAATTGAAATTGAAAGGTGTGTTGCTTTTTCACGACAACGCGCCCGTCCACAAGAGCCGCGTTGCGTTGGCTGCCCTGCATAAGGTGGGCTTCGATATTTTGAATCACCCACCCTACAGCCCAGACCTGGCCCCCAGCGATTATTACCTGTTGCCAAAAATGAAAAAAAGAGCTGCTGGGTAAAACATTTACCAACGATGATGAAGTCAAGGAGGCAGTTTCGGCGTATTTTGAAGACAAAGAGAAAACATTTTTTTATGAGGGTATAAACAAATTAATTATAGGTATATAGAGGGTATAAACATTTAAAGATCTGAAAAATGTATCCGTCTTGCAGGTGAATATATTGAAAAGGAAAAATTATTTGGTTTTTTTATTTCCACCCCTTATCCCCCATTCCGCGAACATAAAAACGCTCCCTCGTAGTCTGGCTAAGTAAAACTCAACGTATAACTATGGTTACGAAAAAGATATCAAATCAAACTACATACTGTTAGAAAGCTCAAACTCTGGAGATGTTTTTGGAAATTAATTAATTTACATTTTTGACATTTCTAAGGTCAAGAAACGATTCGGCCACGATTGATTTTTTGTTACGCCATAAAATAACACCAAATTATTTGTACTAAAAACTTTAAAAAATGTGATGTGATTAGGATTTTTTATACATTATTCTTAGATACTATTATATTTCAACTTCTTAGAGAGAAGAAGAAGAAGAAGTTCTTAATTTAATTTTAAGTACAAAATAAAGACAGAAATTTCCTTAATAGTTACAATTTATTTAAATGCCCGGAACTAGATGACCTTCCCCTACATAGTAAAAGAACAGCAATGCAAAAAGTAGACAAACTTGACACAAACCCTATATCAACACGTTTGGCCAGTATAGTGGGCCAAAACCTCCTTTTAAGGCGAGGCCTATGTCAAGCAGTGGACTAATAACCTAGGACCTAGGCCCGTTGATGATGATGATGGTACATAGTAGGTCAAAATCTCCTTTCTAAGAAGAGGCCTATGTCCAGCAGTGTACAATAAAGGGCTGTTGATGATGATACGTAAAAATTTGGAGTACTTTAGTTAAAACTAAAAAGGTAAATTAAGCGAAAATTCAACGTATTTCTATGTGAGTGGGTCTAAAAATGAACACAATAACACGAAAATTATGTCGGACGTCCATTTTGCAACCACTCCAATGAAAAGTGGAGATTGTAAAGCACGAAGTTGTTGACGAAAACGTGTACCCAGGATAAACTATCCAGTTAGGTAGGTTTGACTTAGGAAAAGAGGTCAAAAGTCGAATCATGACTAGCCAACGTTTGGAAAGCTGCGTGTCACTTTTTTTATTTGTCTATCTCGTCTGCCCCTCTAACATATTTTTTTTTTCTCATTTTGTAGTCCCATAATGAAACCAGTTTCGTAAACCACATGGTGGTGGTATCTGGGCAACGGTGGTCCGT